GCGTCTGTGAAAGCCCTCCTCATGCCATGGCACTTTTGGACTTTGGCTAAGGAAAAAGAAAAGGAAAAGGAAGAGGAAAAGGAAGAGGAAAAGGAAAAGAAAAGGAAAAAGGGCACCTCCAGAGTCTGGAGACTGTAGGAGGTGAGTGTCGGAGGCAGACTGGGAAGCAGACGAGCTGGGCAAAGGCTGATTTATGGCCTCAAGTTGCTCCAGGGGAGGTTCAGATTGGATATTAGGAACAATTTTTACTCTGAAAGCATTATTAAGCCTTGGAATGGACTGCCCAGGGAAGTGGTTGAGGCACCATCCCTGGAGGGATTGAAAAGCTGGGTGGACATAGTGCTTAGAGACATGGGTTAGTGATGGTTTTTGTCACAGTTACATTGATGGTTGGACTCGATGATCTTAAAGGTCCCTTCAACCTGGACAATTCTATGATTCTATGATGGAAAAGCAGAGCAAAGGCTGATGGAATTACTTTGAGAAACATCTGGGGCAGCAGGGACCAATCCAAGAGGCTCTAAGGATGGATAAGGAGGAAAGGAAGAAAAAAAGGAAATTAATTCTCTTTATATTTAGCTTTAATAAATGTCTCAGTCCTCTCCTAAAGCTATTCAGCCTTAGGTAGGACTACTGCAGATTTAACAGGGGTGGGTAACAAAAAGGCCCCTGCCTTGTCACACAGGAAGGGATGTTAACACAGAACAACCAGCTGAAGGCTGTAGCCTCTGTGATGCATAAACTGAGGGACTCTAAAGCAAAACTTGTTGCATTCTCAGCAAGCCAGCCTGTTCTTATTCCTACAGGGCGTTACCATTTAGCCTTGAAATGTGTCTGAGTGGCTTACAGTTTAATTGTTCTAATTTGCACATTTAATTCTGAAAGAATTATTCATTGCAAATATCTCTCTCTCTAGGGCTGTCAGTCCTGTCCTTCCATTTAATGAATATACAATATTAATATAGCTGAAACTTTCTCTGCTCTCATGAGCTTTCAATAGATTGTGTAAGTATTTTTGTGTGAATTTCCTTTTATAAGCAGTTCCAACCACTGTTTAGATCTAGGTGAATAATACACAATAAGTCATTTATTGTGGAATTTAATCGCCTTCTCTACTAACGGGTAATAGGTTGTAATTTTCTCAAGCATTCACTTTCACAAATAGCCACGCAGTAGTTGATATGAATGTGTATATTCGGGGCCTTTATCAGAAAGCCAAAATGCTGGTTTGTGTCCAAGTCACCAGCCATTCAAGCTTCTCTTTTGTTTTGGGTGTATGTCAGGTTTCTGGTAGGAATGTTTATAGGTTTGAAGCTCCTTTTCCTTGTATGTCCTCCTACCAGAGCTTGCCAGCCGGATCCCTAAGTAACATTGCAGTCAGGAGGTTCTACTGGTGAGCATGTCCCCAGCTCCTTTGTTAATAGAAGTACTTTTTAATAACTAGATGAATATGTACAGTCTGGCAATTCTGTTACCTAAATGAAAAAACAGAGCTGAAGTCTCTTTTCAGTTGTTCTAGAGATTAAACCCTTAAAATTTAACCAGCCTTGTTGCCATTCTGTGGAAGATTTCCATTTTTGCTCCAGGATCCCAGGTGAAAATGCAGAAACCCAGCCCTGCTGCCCTGTATCCGTCTAATTCCCTGTATCTGTCTAATTCCCTGTATCGTGTCACGTCGTTGTTCCAGGGCCTGGGCAGCTCCTGGCTGACGTAGCGCTGTGGTCACAGGGCAGGTACATGGAACAACAGCCCTCTCTTGGGCTACATCTGAGCTGGCACAGAGACCCCTTTTCATGAGACTGTTACAGTAGTGCTGTGCCTGCTCTGATGGCAGAGAATTCCTCAGGCTGTCTCCTTTCCAATGTCCTTGTTCAAATCTTTGTGCTGCTCTTCTGAAACTTAACATCATTCATATTAGGCATTCTAGAGAATTTATTTTATCCTCTTCCTTTGTTTAAAACGACCTTTTCTTGGATTCTGATGTCGCAATGTTTCAGTATAGCTAAAAATCAGTACTTTAAATGTAGAAGGCCAGCAGAGGTGTTTGCAGGTTAAGTGACTGCTGTGATTTCTTGTACTGAGTCCTCAGTCGTCTTGTATCAACACAGAAATACCACAGAAATGCTTTATAAATTGAGTCTTCTGTATTCCTCCAAAAACATTGTTTTGCTACAGCAGACCCAATAATATCTGCCAGAGGATACAGTGTGATTCATGTTGGCTGAACTGAATACTGAGGAGGTGGATTTTTAGTGATAAGTAAGAATGAAATAGAGGCAGCATATAAACACATTCGCAGGTGATGCTGTAAGGATGGAATGAGAAGAATTGGATTAGAGGAGATAGCAAAGGAAAATAAACTTCTCAAAATGTGAAAGGAGGCATAAACTGTCGTTCTCTAACAAATGGGCAGCATCCGACTGTAGTACCGGAGAAACGCCTCAGCAGGAGGCTGGGCTGGCTCCTGGGATTTGGCCCCAACTCCCACGCTCCCTTCCAGCTCCCCTCGTGGGGTCCCCGGGCTCTGGGACTCAGCCAAGGGCACTTATCACCTCCTCAGCCCCCTCCACCCTGCCAGTTAGAGCCTGGCACCTGAACAAAATTTTCCCAGCCCACTCCACCTTCTGCCCGGCTGAACCCCCCCAGGGCTAGCAGCGGTGAGCTCAGTGTACCGTGGCACAGCCAGAGCAGTGCCTGGGGGGCTGAAGGCAAAGCCACAGGCTGAACTGCAGCCAGTTAAGGAAGGTGATGCAAGTACAGAGAAAGCCAGGAGGAGCACATGGAATATCTTGGGAGAAAAGAGTCTCCAGTAAAGCAAAACTCCCCAGCAATGCTGAGGGAAGTGAGCTCTGCTATTGCTATAGCGGGGCAGGGGGGAGGAGGGGGCAGAGGAACAGAAGAGAGGATTTCTGGTTCAGACTATTCAGCTGTGGGCAGACAGCTAATGCCACTTGATGTCCTCATCTCCATGCAAGTGCCATCCAAAGTTTGGACTGTAAGGGGAGGAAGACTAATGCGAACCAGAATGAGCTGCATTTTTTAACTGGAACTGATGACTAAGGAAAAGAAGACAGAGTCAGCTGGGATTAGAGCTCAGCCACCAGCCATGCACATCTTGGAAAATGCTGTGCTCTGCGGCTCATGCGCTGAAGGGCACTGAGGAAGGGTACAAATATTTGCATTTTGGCATTTTCCCCAGAAGCTTCTCCAAAACACTCTTGTAGCTGAAGGAAAGAAAAGAATTCCACCACGATGGTGACATACGGGGTGGCAGGAGCCTTGTGGGGAAGGAGCTGGGTTACCCCAGGACAGCAGGTTCATGGTGGGTTCAGGACAGCACGTTGTGTGCATCACATGCCCTTGGCCCCAGGTCTGTATTTGGTAAAGTCTGGAGCAGGTAGAGAAGCACCACCATGGATTCATTCACCAGATTTATGCTACAGACACAACATCTGCCACCTTGGGCACTTTTTAACTGTTGGGAGATCATATTGGAGTTTTTAAAACAGTTTCCCAAAGAGTTTTCCAGTAGTTTGTATAGTGCCTGCTAAACGAAGCTGTGGGTGTAACATCTTCCATACACTGCAGGGTTTTGTGGAAGGTTCCTTTCCTGTTTGCAGTGCAGGTTTCCCTCCCTGTTGTGCCGCGTTGCATGGCACACCCTGGGAGAGCTGTCAGCTCGAGTGTCACACACACTGAAGGCAACCCAGCTACGTCTGTCAGCCAAACACCCAGCACAGCACCACACTCCATGTACACTTACCGTGTCTCACTTAAAAGCAGATTAAGCACCTCCACACTGTTATGCCCCATAGACAATATGTCAGTGCTAATGAAGCTTTGGAAAGCCTCAATTTTATCTATGAAATACAGGCACTTCTTATATTTGTCTCTCTTTACGGGTGACAAGGGCCCACAGCTAACGCAGTGTCATTAAATATAGAGATAGGAAGGTGGTTATTTTGTCATTCAGAATGACAATTAGGCTACTGAGGGCTGCTCGGTGGAAGGCAGGCGGGCGTCGCGCTCCCTGCGCCGGGGCGATAGCTGGGGGTGCAGGTGGTGGGCTGGTACGGGGAGGGCTGGGAGACACACTCACTGAGAATGTAAATGGGAACTGCACTCAGCTCTTCCAAAAGTGAAATTAATTAAAGCTGTGAGAATTTTGGCAGAAGATGACAATTCTTTGTAACTCATTTTTTTGTTATAAAAATAGATTTAGTTCCCTGACAGGGTGCAGGTGGTGGGCTGGTACGGGGAGGGCTGGGAGACACACTCACTGAGAATGTAAATGGGAACTGCACTCAGCTCTTCCAAAAGTGAAATTAATTAAAGCTGTGAGAATTTTGGCAGAAGATGACAATTCTTTGTAACTCATTTTTTTGTTATAAAAATAGATTTAGTTCCCTGACATTTCATAGACTCACAGAATGGTTTGGGTTGGAAAGGACCTTTAAAGACGAACCTCCCCTGCAATGAGCAGGGACATCTCCAGCTAGATCAGGCTGCTCAGAGCCCCTTCCAACATGACCTTGAATGACGGAGCATCTACTACCTCTCTGACCGTACATAAGAGACTTGATCTTAAATATTTTTAGAAATTCTCTGAAGTTTTCCTGCTATCAAGGGTTCAGAAGTGTGCGTGATCTTCACCAGAAAGCCCTTTCAGGATCTCAGGTTCATTTCAGGAGATTAGATCAGGTCCCTGGGTCTTAACTCTTGTAAGAGACTATATTTATTTTCAACAAAAGCATTCCCAGGAACTGTTTCTTCAGAAGAGCTTATTTTTTTTTCTACACTTTTATTCCTTCTGGTATAAAAAAGCCCAAACTAACCACCTCAGATGGATAGTTAAGCTCTGGTAATCAGCAACAGCAGGTGACAGGTTTAATTCTGTTGCAGTATTAGTAGCGTGGCCTTCTGTGTGAGGTTGTACATAGTGAAGCACACAAAGGAAGAAGGACACTGAGCAAAATGAGATGAAGTATTTTATTGTTCAGCACGGCAAAGAGCTAATCTCACCACATCGAAATTAATAGAATTGTTGCTACAGACTCACAGATGTGAAGAATCTGAGTCAGTCCTGATCTGAATAAAAGGAAGTAAAATCATCTTTCCTAAGAGCGCTTGAGACTCTGACAGAACGTTTTCCATCCGTGCTGGTGATCATATGGACCTTTGCTTAGTACACTGGCACACTGGTTTTTGCTTTTTAGGCTAAAAGATATTAAGAGATGCATAAATATTTGCATTAAGGGGAAAAAAAGCAAAACCAGGCAGTAGCAGAACAATAAGAATCAGAAAACAGATGGCTTTACAGGCATATCAGGGTGTTGAAAGAGCCTGCTCATCATGATGACAATGACCTTTCTTGGCAAAAGCTTCACTTTTACTCTCTGCTGCATATGTCTCCTGTCCTTCTTTCACAATTATGCATCAAAGAAAACTCAGCATTTTTAGTACTGCTTGTTGATGTTATTTCTACCTGAGGTCTTTGCCATTCCCAGCCCTTGTACAGGATGGTGGGTGCTCCCTTTCTGTCCTTGCAGCACAGCCCCAGGCTGAACCAGCAGCAGAGCTCCTGATCCAAACTCCTCTTGCCACTGGAGAGTCAGCCGGCCCCGCTGGTGTCCCACTGGTGTCCCACTGGTGTCAGCTGGACTGGCCACTGCCACACTGACCACTGTGACAGTACAGCCCGCTGTCCCTGACCCACACATGCAAACGTTATGTATTTTCACCTCAGATCTGAATATATGTCATCTCCAAGGGCAACCTGCGATGCAGAAAGAAAAAGAAGTGAGGTTTTTCATTCCAGGTGTTTTGCAGAATGAATTTCAAGGGAGCAGTAAATCCTATCTCCCGGAGAGATCCATACCCATACGGATTAATGTACAGCCACCTGTCTGCCCGCAGCCCAGCATTTATATACTCAATTCAGCAAAGAACTCCTCCTGTCCCAGGAGGCTATTGCGCTTGGTAGCTCTCAGAACCCCATCAGCACTTCCATAATCACATTTGCACTCATTGTTATGGGAGAAATGAACTATTTATTCTTGAAAAGGAGAAATACGTTTGGGCATGTCCAGTGAAAATGGAAGCTACATCATCTGCAAAACAGGTCCAGTAAATATACACTGAAGGTGCTGATAAGTCTGTCTGTCGTGGCTGGGTATGCAGAAGCTGAGGAGAGAGTACGGACCATATTGACTTCTGGTTTATTTTACTGCAGCCAGCTAAAAGCCAGAATCTTAATATCCTGTAGCATCTTTTAAAAAAAACAGATAAATATTTCATGGAGCTTGTTGGCCAGTTTTAATCAGAAGGGTAAAGGTCTCAGTTATAACTAAGTGCCTACAAAATCTATGAAAGGGGGCAGAGGAAAGGCCACTGTGTGAATATCTGCAGATTCCCTCCACCACCTCTGGGTACGAGTGCTGTTGTTGTGCTGGAGGTCCCCCGTGACTGCACCAGGCCTTTTTTTTTAATTCATCACTGCATTTTTCACTGATACCTAAAATGCATTTAGTGACAAAAGACAAAAAAATGCTCGACAATGACTCATCTCCCAGAGGCAAAGACCGGTGATGACAACCCATGCAAATAGCACTGGGAGCCTTCTGTGATGAGAGGCTGCTGAATGAGAACGTCATAGGAAAAAGAAACTGGTTCATTTATTCCTTACATTCCTTACATTAAGGTAACACCTTCCCAAAGGTGCTTCCCTCCCTCACCCAGCCACTGCTGTTCGCTCACCTTTTTCTTTAGCAATGATGCTGAAAGGGTTCAGCGACAGGTCTCGGGGATCGATAATGCCCTAGGTATTACCTGTATTTATATTCCCTACAATAGATGTCAATTAGCTATAATAGCTATCACAGGTATGAATAACACCCTACAGAACATGCATGTGATGTGTCCTCACTCAATCACTAATCTGCCATTAAAGTCAACATAATGGCATGCATAAAATACATCAACATCCTCATATACGTAATCCTTCCTGGGTTCTGCCACTGCAGGAGCTGTAGAGTCCCGGACCACGATGGGTATTTACAGTTGAGCTCTGAAAAGACAGCAAAAGCCCATTAGCTCTGACCCTGTGACACCACACAGAAAAAAAAAATATAAAAAGCGGAGCGCTGTGTTAATGAAGAATGACTCTCAAATTAAAATGTAATTATTGATTCTCAAAACCTCACCTAGGAGGCTGCTTTGGCTGGCTCTGAACAGACGCCTCTCAGCCCAAATGGAGACAAACAGGAAGGGTACTGGGAAATATAAAATGAAGCGGCACTAGGGACCAGCTGCTATTTAGTATTTGAAGAACAATCGGACATTCTGGATTCGTGCAGCAAGAAGTGAAGTTTCTGCCCCGTGAGACTGAGCTGCTGTGGCTGACACTGCCTGGGATGGGCAGGACCGAGGAGCAGTGGGAGCTGCAGCCCCAGACGGGGCACAGAGGGGCAGCCAGCTTAAATCAGGTGTCAGAAAAAATAAAGTAGGGAGTACGACTTCAGAACGGAGAGACTTCCTAGAAAAGCCGAAAGAGAGAATCCAGGCTGGCATTAAGGGTGTTGCTGCAGAATTGCCAAAGCTGAGCTGTCTGCAAGAGACACCTCACACACTCAGGTGCTGCATTCGGTGTGAAACACAGTGTGTCCTCTCCCCATTCCTCACCCCCTGAGATCCACCACAAAGCTCACAGCCCAATGGGGAAACTGCACCATTTTCAACATAAGGCTTAATTATTAAAGAAAGTGAAAGAAATTACCTAGAGGGACACTCATTTTGGTGTTGGGTTTTTTTTCCCCTAATGAAAAATGAAGAGGTGGAGCAGCAGTCAGGGAAACACAAATCTGCTACAGCTGGAAAAATCCCTATTTGGAGTTCTTATATAGTATCAGTTCTAGAAGATGAGACTATTTTCAGGTCACTCAAGACACAAATCCAAAGCTCAGGCAATTCTCAGAATACTAGTGGTAAATTCTTTAAAAATTCCCAGAAGATGAAAGCAACAAGAAAGAAAAGGCAAGGGAAAAGTCTACTCAGCACATTGGGAAGGGGGGAACTGCAAAGACCAGCAAGGAATGTGGGTTTATTTGAGAGAAGTGCACTATTCAAGGTGGAATACATGAGACTTTTAGAAAATAACAAGCAGGAGACCAGTGTCAGTGCTAACAGAGATGGAAATAAATGGGAGAGAAAACCATTAGTTCTTCCCAAGGCAACCCCAGTTACCAAAACTGTCCATGAGGGGAAGGATTAGATCCCCAAGACTGAGAATATACTTGTCTCGGGCTGCAACACAATCAGCCCAAGCACTGACAGTGACAAATGTACACAAAAAAATGTGCTGTGGGAATTTATAAAGAGAAATCAAACTCCATTCAGTGGCGAACATGACACAATAGGAACCAAAAGGCATTTGTCACTGCAAACAAACCCACTTCCAGACTCCCGAGGCCCTTCACCACTTCCAGCTCTTTGATTAAACTGAAACGTTGTCATCTATGGCTTTTGCCTTCAAAGCAGAGTTTACAGAACCAAAGGTACAGTTCTCTCCAGCAATCAGAGTGCAAGTGGTTGGGAATCTGCAGACACCCCGTACTTATTTCCCTGGTTACTTCACCTTTTAATTCAAAGCTTTGCAATAAGCCTGCCCACAATTTTCCTGAACTGAGGTTTTTTTGCCCAGCAAGCCCCGACACAATAGATATTCTGAAAATACGTCCTGCTTTTTCCTGAGGCACACCTTACACTCACCTTTATCAGTAACCCAGAAGGTGCACTCTCTGAAGATGAGAAGTGCGGTAGGTTACTAAGCTGATAAAGTCTGGCAGGCGCTTCTCTTCGCTTAGTCCTAAACAAACACTTAAAAATTGTCAGACATTTTTCCAGCAGATGTGCTCGTGTAATAAGCTAATGCTGATGAGTACACTGACTGGTGTTACATAGAAGGTTGGGGTGTTCTGCTGAGATCTTTCAACAAAACAAAGCTCTGACGTGACATACCAGGATTGCCAGACAAAATAAAGACCATCGCGCAACTCATCGTGTCCTGCTCCAAGTTTTCTTCACTGTCTCATCGAATGCCCAAATCTTGTATGTTTAAAACAAGCAAAACCTGTCCTGCTCATACAAAGCAGATGAAGTAGTTCTTATCAGATACAGGTGGTGACAAAGAAGCTGCAGCAATACAGCAACAACAGCTATTTAATAAACTAAGGTCTTAGTAGGCAGCAAAGTAAAATAAAACTAAGTTAAAGAATGATCAACTTACATCAAAGTCCCAGGGAAGGTAGAAGAGAGCCTTTCAGAGCTGAGGGCACAGAAATGCCTTTACAGTACGCATGTGGCTGTTGTCAGAGCCTTCATCCTCGGTCCAATGAACCTCCTGACACCCTCGTGACGTGCTGGAACCACGGCCGGCGCAGGAGGCTGGGGACCACTATTTGTGTGTCACTCATCACTCTCACAGCAGGCACCAGGGGGACCTGGACTGTCCCTCTCCCTCGTCACCCCTTATGTTGGCATAAAAGTCTTTAAAGGAAAGACAGTGAAAAAGAGGATTCAGTCACAAACATTTTGGTTCCCAAGTTACAAAAGAATTAAAGAAAATAGGTTGCTTGTTTTAAAGATTGTTTAGGCAACTTCACTTCCCAAAAGTAACATTTTTTAAAAAAATAATGACTTCGAAGTCCTAACTTCAGCTCAGCCATAGAGCATGCAATATATTCATGAGCCTACCTTATCATTTCAGCAGCAGGTTATGCTGCCACAGCTAGTTTTAAAAGCAACAATTCTCAAAGTCATAGTTCCTCCTAATTCAATTTATTTTGAATTGATGTCTATAAATAGGGCTCTGGCTCTCTATAATTACTGGGGCTGCTCCCAGACACCTGAAAATAGTCACCTCTAACTTTGGCTGGCTCTAGGTTTGAAATAGAAGTATGATTATTATTATTTTTAAACTGACACATTAGTGAGATGCTGATGCTGAAAAAATATTAATATAAAGCATAATTAAATATAAATAATATATATAATAATATAATATAAAGCACCATTTTTAAGATCTCTTTGGAGATGGAGCACAGTGTGACTCCACAGACTCCAGACTCTGGAGATCTTAAAAATGGCGCTTTTGGTCTCCCGTTAGCAAATTAAAAGTCCCCTTTGCTAAAGTAAAGCCCAGTAGAAAAGAGTGAGTGATTTGTCCATACACAGGCAATTCAGGTGAAGATTCATTACTGCCTAATCTTACTCATTTATTAAGCTCAGCCTCCTAAGCACAGCACAAAAGGGAGGGAGCTTTTTAAAAAGGAGAGTGTCAAGTGTACCCTTCTCATACCAGAAAGCAAGGGTAAGAGCTGCTTCACTGCTGGCTATGGCTTGTGTTTCCCAGGAGATCCTGGGGAAGTAAAAGACACTGGTAATGCCTCCACACTCCTGTGTGTGAGGGGAGAAGGAGGGGAGGCTGAAATAAACAATTCTGAAATTCCAGAAGAAAAAAGAAGAGTTGTTCTTCATCAGACAGACCGTTGCAGTCTGTCATCTCAGAATGAGAATTGTATTTCCAGCCTTTCAAAATGAGGACAATCTCTCTTTGCCGGAGACTCTGTCTTTAGGTTTCCTTCTGTGGAGCCAGGAACACACGCAGCCTTGGCCGTCTCGTCCAGCTCCTCTGGGGCTGCCGTTTAGGACTCTCTGCTCTGGAGAAGGACTATGTCTTAATTGCTCGAGGTTGGCTTTGCACCACGTGGCAGCCTTCTCCCTCCAGGCTCCCTGGGCTCCTGGGGTGAAGTGACAGGAATCATTGTAATGCTGCAGAGTATACGTAATCCATTAGAAAGTAATGTCATTGGAACATTTTTAATCACCTTAAATTGCAATCAATCCCTAAAGAACATCATAGTAAGAACAGGGATAATTTTTGGAAACCCTTTGTTATTCCTTGGTAAAACGTGCTATTACAGAGTTATATGACTTGCAGCTTGGGCAAGAGGTCCCGTTACCACTCCGGAAACCTCCAGAGGAACACATAATCCTTCTGTACCGGAGAGGTTTTAACCGGACTCTTACCTTGTTGGCTTTTGCTCCTGAACCCCCTTGTCCTGCAGCATGCCCAGCAGTGACACCTGAAGACACATGTGGCCATTGAGGACTCCTGTGGTTGGGGGTGCGTGGGGAGGTGCTCTCTGAGCAGGCACTGAGTGGAGAGGCTGGGAGGGAAAGGGTGCCCTCAGGTTTTGAGCTCTTCCCAACAAAGTTTTTTATTTATGCTAATGAGGAACTTTGTCAGGAGGCCTGATGAGGTGGCACTCTCTGTGTCATCTCCCCTTGCCCATCAGCCAGCTCTCACGCACAGCAGGATAGAAGAGGTCTTGCAACACCAACTTCCATGCAGAATTATTATTCCAGCGTAGGAAAGGAGCCTTATTAACCTCCTCCCTGCTGTGTCCTTCAAGGATGGAGTCACCCTGAAGCTCCTCTGAGGCAGGAGGCAGCAGAAAGCTGACCAGTTCGCATACTCCAGCCCAACTACACCCCAGGTGAAAGTGCATCAGGGCAGAGCGTTAAACCAAGTCTCCCACATTTCTTAAGAGTCAATAAAACCAGGCAAATAGGAGCTGGTGCTGCTCCAAAGAAGCAGATGTGGAAAGAGAGATGGGGGCAATTTCCACAGCAGCAGATTCTGTCAGTTTTGCTCCTCACACTGTTTTTCCCTTGTCTTCAGCTGACGCCAATTGCTCTCTATCACCCTACCTGTAGGCAATCAGCAATTCCTCTGCTGCTCAAAGAGGCATTTCTGGGCTCCTGTGAAAAGTATCCTAGGAAACAGCAGGATAGATCCCCGGGTGGGGAGCTGCCTTCTCTTGTATGGGAAATGGAGAGGCAGCAACAGTAGTAAAAGCAGGAACTCATTGGCAATGGCAGAATTCTACTTGTGCTAGAGAACTGGAAAAAAACTGATAAATTGGACATTTCTAGTAAGTATTGTTAGGAAAGGAACAATCACAGCACATGTGGAACTGAGGCTTAACCCAACACCACAAGAGGTGCTTGGTGCCACATGGCAGGTGTTCCAACTACAACTGAAGGCTTCATTTGAAGACCGCAGAATGACCAGGCAGGAGGAAACGGTGCAAAGGAAGGTAGAAGAGCCAAACCAGGCACCAGACCGGGCTATTGGCTGTATGGAGAGAAAGAAACATTTCTCCATATGAATTTGGGCTGGTTTTCTGGTTCCAGGTTAGGGGGTCAGGCAGTGCTACGGAGAGAGGAGGGGAACTAAACAGCAGATGTGATGTGTGTTTTAAGGCTGGCTCTTCCAGACCTGCCTGAAAAGACGGGGTGTAAGAGCCCTCTGCGCTGACTTCAGTCCTCTGGCTGCGGGCTCACTCAGCCTCTGGGGAAACAAAGAGATTGCATTAAATAGAATTAAATGGAGCACAGCAGAGAGAGTACTGCAGCAAGGTCCTGATCCAGAACTAATGATAAACTAATTAAATTAAACTAATTAGGGTTGGAAACAATAGTCATAATCAGATTATTGCATTTTAAACCTGAAAGGGAAGACTGAATGATGGGGAAGGGAGTACAGCCCCAGTACTGAAGGCAGTAAGGTTCAAGGCAGACCCACCACCACCACTGAGCCACATTACACCCAAACCCATCACCTGAGGGGCCATGGTACCAGCTAAATTGCTGTATCTCAGATAACTCCGAGCAGAGCATCCACATTTTCCATACTCTCACAAGGTAACACCCGACAAGACAGGTCAAGATCCAAGGGGCAGTGTCTGCAGGCAGCCTGGTGAGAAACCCCAGTGCAGAGCTGTAACTGCTGCATCAGCACTGTGTGCAGCCTGCCCCACCTCTAACGAGGTGCCACCACAGCATGTTGCTATTTAATAACAATTAGGTGATAGATTGCTGTTGTAGCAGTAGGATTCCAATTTTCCTTACAGAAAAAATTTTGCAACGTCATTTGCCTCATTTAACAAAGCTCTGAGATTAAACAGATCACTTGAATGTGAAAACATCATCTGCCACCTCCTGGAAAAGTCAAAACTTTACCACGTAAAGACCAGACTAAGACACCCCGTGGTGCTATTAACAGCAAGGGGAAAATCAGACACTACCTTCACTTTTCACTGGAAGCAGATTGTTCTCCTCAGTTAAACTTCAAATAAAAGCTGATGTCACCCGTCACACCTTGCAGGAGCCTAAGGGGGAGATGTTTGCAGTCAAGGTTATCAGCAGTGGAATCCTGTTCCAAATGAAATTGAGTACTCAGACAAAACTGAGTACTGGAGGAAATGGAAGATAAAAATCAGAAAACCAGCACAATTATTTACTGTTCATTCTATCACATAGTGCTGGTTTGGATGCTGAGGAAAACAAATAATTAAATTCCAGTGTAGATAAATTCCTAAATTCAGCTGTGTTCAAATTACATCAGTAGCAGCTCTATCCCTGGCCAAAATATTAGAAGATGGATTTCAGTCTGCCTCCTCCTATTCCCCAGTGAATTCTTCCTTTAATAAAATGAAACAAGGCATGTAGGAAGGCAGAAGGAAGTTATATTGGGGTAGGGAGGTTGTTACTGGTTTGTTTGAGATGGTTCAACCCAACAAACACGGAAGGAAGTAAAGTAAGAGTCAAATATTCAAGATATATTTTATTATTGTTATAACAAACTTATTTTAATGCAGCATTTGGAAATATTTCTTGAACTACCAGAAGGAATTTTTTGAAATTCTGCCAAAACAGTGGCAACGGTTACTCATTTCAGGGCTTTCTCCACCCACAAGAAACCCCTGTCTTTCCCTTATGTAGTAATAAGCGCCACCAATTGGGTCTTGGTGCTGCTTAGAGATAGGAGTCAAGAAAATTAAATAACTCAATCAGGCACAGGAACAATTCATTTCACTACGATGCAAAAAATGAAGTGCCTATCTCCAATATTTAAGAAGTATTAATGTGGTGCATTAACGCTAAGCGCTTGAGAGAGAGAGGAATTCTGCTTCCCCATTAATTACCCTGTCACAAGCACTCATCAGCTTTTGCAAGCAGGAAATCCTGAGCGCAGGCCCCCAGTCTCTGGGATGCCCAGATCACACCAATCAAAAATGAGCCTTAGAAAAAATGTTTGTGCTGTTGCCGTTGTTTGAGGCTGAACAAACTTCCCTGGGAAATGCAAACAGCACTCGGGAAACGTGTTGAAGTTAAACCACAGCAACAAATAAAACGCAGCATCTCAAACATGAACAAGTTCAACGCACATGTTTTTCCCCATTAAATCCATGTTATTTCATCTTCCCACTTTGTCAGTTTTGTATCTTGGCATCGTAGAAAGGGCAACATTTTTGT